ACAATATGGATACACAAACACCAACTAGAACCCAAGAGACACGACCAATTCTCACTGGTCTCAGTATACACGGACAAAGAAGGACACGAATTTGACTGGGACAACATATCCATAATAGCACAAGCCAAATAGAGACATGCCAGGGAATTCCTGGAGGCCTGGCATTCCAACTGGAACTCCATCAACAAGCACATTGAACTAGACCCGATACACAAACCACTGAGAAACAGAACAGAAGTAATACCAACCACCCCAGCAAACAGAGGCATATAAATAACAAGCAGGACAGAACACCAACACTTCACCGGAGGCCCCTGACGATGTTACCTAGCAGGGTGACAAAACGTCTGCAATCAAACCCTCTGGCTTGGCAAGCATTTCTACAATCTCAATTTTTCAATTGATCTTAGTGACCTTCAGGTGTGCTGGGAGAGATTGTCCTGGGGTTTCACACAGTATCATGTCCGATGAACAGATAACACTAAGATTGGTGGAGAAGCAGATAGTGAAGGGGACTGTCGGAGAATGTAGCAGAATATAGATAGATTGGAGAGTTGGGCGGAGAAATGGCAGATGGAGTTCAATCCAGGCAAATGCGAGGTGATGCATTTTGGAAGATCCAATTCAAGAGAGAACTATGTGGTAAATGGAAAAGCCCTGGGGAAAATTGATGCACAGAGAGATCTGGGTGTTCAGGTCCATTGTACCCTGAAGGTGGCAATGCAGGTGGATAGAGTGGTCAAGAAGGCATATGGCATGCTTTCATTCATTGGACGGGGTATTGACTACAAGAGTCGACAGGTCATGTTACAGATGTATAGGATTTTGGTTCGACCACATTTGGAATAATGCGTACAGTTCTGGTTGCCACATTACCAAAAGGATGTGGATGCTTTGGAGAGGGTGCAGAGGAGGTTCACCAGGATGTTGCCTGGTATGGAGGGCGCTAGCTATGAAGAGAGGTTGAGTAGATTAGGATTATTTACATTAGAAAGATGGAGGTTGAGGGGGGACCTGATTAAGGTCTACAAAATCATGAGAGGTATAGACAGGGTGGATAGCAAGAAGCTTTTTCCCAGAGTGGGGGGACTGAATTACTAGAAGTCACGGTTTCAAGGTGAGAGGGGAAAAGTTTAAGGGAGATATGCGTGGAAAGTTCTTTACACAGAGGGTGGTGGGTGCCTGGAATGCGTTGCCAGCGGAGGTGGTAGAGGCGGGCACGATAGAGTCATTAAGATGTATCTAGACAGATACATGAATGGACAGGGAGCAGAGGGATACAGACCCTTGGAAAATAGGCGACAGGATCTGGATCAGCGCAGGCTTGGAGGGCCAAAGGGCCTGTTCCTGTGCTGTAATTTTCTTTGTTCTTTGTTCTTTGAACACCACCAACGATCCCCCCTCCACCACGCCCCCACCAATATCCCCACACCTGCAAAAGTCCTAAACTAAAGGCAATAATCAAAGAAATAATAATTCCACATTTTACTCAGTCTGATATTTATGGGAGTTACTATTTAAATTCTATTCATGATTTTTATGTTGGTATCACTTCCGCAAATGAACACAGACAATGGACCATCAGTGTCTTTATGGAGCATGCGCAGCTAATAGGAATCCAATTAACTTTGGTTTTCTCCCAAGTTTGTCTGCTTCTGTTCTGAAGCTGCTGATTCTTGCTGTGATATGGTTCCTCAGGGATCAATGTACATTAGAGATCTGAACACACCACTAATACAATCCTGCCACTAGGCACCTTGTCCAGTTGATCAATCATATTTGTCAGACTATAGACTGAAACTGTTCAATCTGCCAAGACCCTAATTGACATTCATAGTTATCTGCCATTTAGGCCAGCATTTGTTGCTCATCTCTATTTACCCAGTGGGCAGTTAAGAGCCAACCACATTACTGGGAATCTGGTGTCACATGTAGGTCAGACTTGGTAAGGATGGCAAATATCCTTCCTAATGGAGATAGTGAACCAAATGGTTTTTACAATAATTCACAGTGGTTACATGATCGCCATTTAGCTAGCTTTTCTTTATTGAAATCAAATTTCACCATGAGAACATTAACGTGATGTTTTGAATTACTAGCCCAGTGACATTACTACTAACAGCCAGTGAACTACTCTTAAAATGCAGCCACTGTAGTAATACAAAAAATTCAGCAGCCAATATTTGCACAACTGAATCACACAAACAGCAATGTGGAAATGACTACAGATTCTCTGTGCTATTGATTTAAGGATAAATATTGGCCAGGGCACCAGATAACTCTCTGCTGCTTTCAAAATACTGCCATGGGAACTTTAACATGCAACTATGAGAATAGACAGAGTCTAATTTTCGTTTCTCATCTAAAAGACAGTATATCTGATCCGGCCTCAAAATACAAGGGTGCAGTCACTGAATTCATCCCAGAAATCCCCAAACTACCGACGGAATTTCAATTATAGTGTCAGCCAATCAAAGGAAAATCACCTCCATATGTAGAGTGAACTGAATCAGAGAGGAACTACTTCATACTATGCCCATTAATACAGTCCATTCTGCCAACCAATGTCCTTTTGAAGTTTGATATGATCCTCTTCACAGTGTACAATTGTGACAAGATGTGCCTTTAAGAGAGATTTGTTCTGTCCTGGTTCTTTTGAAGAGAGATGTTGTAAACCTGGTGCTGAGGTTGCCATGCCATGGAAAGCAGAGTAAGTGGCTTTGGGGTTTTTTTTAGACAAAAGAAGCATGAGTGGGTGGAGTCAGGCTCACACAGATCCAGAGTTTTAGTTTTTGCTTTCAATTGTTAATGTTGAGGTTTTGGAGTTAAAGCTGTTCAATACAGCTCTCTCTCTGCTGCTGCATAAGTCTGAGGTCTCTTTCTGCTGCTAGACTACTTGTTTCAGTATTTCATTCTGCTGGATTGAAGTAAGAAGACGGCATGTGAGAATAACACTGTTTTGCTGAATTTGCCTTTGCCAAGGGTTTGTTTATGGGATGCTGCTATATCGGAACAGTTGGTGAGTAGTAACAAAATAATGTATCATTTAACTAAGTACTTTGATAGAGTTAAAGTTATGTCAATTCCTTTTTTTTTGTTTGTATTTTAACTGCAGTGTAAGAAAAGGATGTTTTATTTAAAGCCCAGTAGTTTGACCAATTGAACCACATCTGGAATGCAGCACCTTACACTTATCTTTAAATGAAAAAGAAGTCGGGTCTAGTCGATAACCTTGCCATGTTTTGAGGGGCTTTGGTCTGGTCCATAACACAATATCTACAAGTTTCACATCATCTTCAAATTTTGTTTATCTAATACCTCAGCCATGCCTCTTACCTCCGTTCACAAATCCTCTTTTTGGATCTAATCAGTTCCATTCTTCCTTTTACTACTCATTTAAAATTTATTTGTTTTTGAAAGACTTTTAGATTCCCTTTATGTAAGCAGCTACACTTTTCTCATTCGTTCCCTTTCCTTCTCATATTTATTTTTTCAATTCCCCTCTGAACTGTCTATGTTTACTATGGTTCTTGTTTGTCCTTATTACGCGACTGACATTAATCATTTGTACACCTTCTTGATTCCAAGATGAAAGTGTTACCAGCTGAGTGACAATTGGCACTAACGGTTTTCAATAAGATTCAGCAGGAGTGAAACTGAATTTCTGATTTGTCTCTTCCTTCACATTGAAGACACTGAGTCTTCAAGTTTTCTTTTTGATAAGAAAACTTATCTTGGAGCAGCTGAGAGCTGGAATGGAGTGGACTGGAGCACTGGAATGGTGCAGAGTGGTTGAGAGCCGGAGCGGAGCAGGCTGGAGACCTGGAGCAGCTGAGAGCTGGAGTGGAGCGGGCTGGAGGTCTGGAGCAGAGCTGGAGGTCTGGATTGGGGTCTGGCACAGCCAGTCGGTAAATTGTGAGGCCAGTCAAGCCATGGATGGAAATCCCTGAACTGATCTACTGAAATGTAATTTTTATCTGTAACATGTTTCTCTCACTGTAATGTTTATCCTTTTAACTGTGTCTTATTTCTAACTTATACACTGTAGGTAATGCAATTATTTTCTTCTTTATTCCTCTTTTTGTATCAAAAATTTGTACTTCGGTATTTTGTACCCCAGATGGTGCCATGAAAGGTGACATTGTAAACTTTTCACCGTACTCCTGTACTTCTGTATTTGAGTACACGTGACAATAAAACCAAATTCTAATTCCAATTCTTAATTGTAACACTCATATTGCTAACCCAGATCATCTGAATGAACTCATTGCAAATTATAGATCATATTCTTGGCTATGTGACTAATTTCTATTGTTAGCAAAGAAAATTCAATTCAATTATAAATAAGGTTGTAAAAGACTCATCGATTATATCTTTTTTTAATGCATGTGATGAATCAGACTTTTCATTAAGTTAGAGTCATATAATATTGGAGATCTACAGCACAGAAAAAGATCCATCAAGCCATCACATTGAGCTGCTCAAAAACCATCACCTAAATATTCCAACTTCATTTTCTAATATTTGACCTACATCCTTGTTTCCTTTGGCATACTTCTTAATATTTCTTAAATGTTATGAGGGGTTCGGTCTCTACCACTCTTAGAAGCTCCAGATTCCTAGCACCCTCTGGATGAAAAAGGTTATCCTCATATCTCCTCTAAACCTTCTGCCTTGATTTTAAATCTATGTCCCTGGTCACTGATCCCTCCAGCAAGGGGAAAAATTCCTCCCTTTCTGCCCCAACTATGCCCTTATAATTTTATACCTCCCGATCAAATCCCCTCTCAATCTCCTCTGCTCTAAGGAAAAGAACTCCAGTCTATCCAATCTTTCTTCATAACAGATGGTAACATCCTTGGAAATCCCCTCCACACCTTCTCCAAGGACACCACACCCTTCCTATACAATGGATGCCAGAACTGCACCCAAGTTATCTTGTTAGTCAGAAGAAAAAATTGCCTTGTGTTCTGAATTGTAATTATTGAGCCTTATGTTAGGACTTCTTTTTACTCATGAGTGAGATGTGGATATTGCTCACTGAGGCAGAATTTACTGCCCATCCATAATTGATCTAGAAAGTGTAGGAACTGCAGATGCTGGAG